GAAATGGGAAACAGTTACAAAGCATCCCATGATTATGTTTTGTAAAAAAAAAAAAAAATGACTTCATGAGTATTGAAGGGATATAGATTAGAGGACTGATAATTTAATCAAATAAAATTAACAAGCACTTATTAAGCACCTACTATATGCCACTTGTTCAATTGTTTCTCAGTCATGTCTGACTCTTCGTGACCCCATTTGGGGGTTTCTTGGCAGAGATCCTGGAGTGGTTTTCCATTTCCTTTTCCAGCTCATTTTACAGATGAGGAAATGGAGGCAAACAAAGTGAAATGGCTTGCCGAGGGTCACACAGTTAGTAAGTGGCTGAGGCCAGATTTGAACTTAGGAAAATGAGTCTTCCTGACTCCAGGTCTGGTGCTCTATCTGCTGTACCACCCAACTGCCCTACTGTATGCCAGACACTGTGATGAGCTCTGGTGATACAAAGAAAGGCCAAAATAAAACAAAACTGAGCCCTCAAGCATCTCATAGTCTAAGGATGAAAACGATATGTATTTAACTATATCCCAACAAGATACATACAGGATACATTGAAGATAATTTCAGAAGGAAGGCAATAAACTTAAGCAGGAACAGAAAAAGCTTCTGGCAGAAGGTGATGTTGGATGAGACTTGAAGAAAGCCAGGAGATGGAGATGAGGAGGGGGAGTGTTCTAGGCATGGCGGTCAGCCAGAGAAAATGCCTAGCATCGGGAGATGATGTGGCTTGTGTGAGGAATAGCACAGAGGCCAGCGTCACTAGATTGCAGAAGATGTGAGGGGGAGTAATGGATAAGAAGCTTGGGAAGGTAGAAAGGGACCACATTATCAAGAGCTTTAAAAGCCCTCCCTCAAAAAGGGAGGGTTTTATACTAAAATTTTAAATAGGGATAAATTTAAATTTTTACACTTGGTTTAAGAAATGAACTTTGTAAGTACAAGATGGGAGAGATGTGGGTAAAGGGAAGTTTTCTGTGAAAAAGATCTGGGGGCCTTAGTGGACTACAAGCTCAATCTGAGTCACAGTGTCATATGGCCAATTTGAACTTGGACTACATTAAGAGAGGAAAAGATTCCAGGAATAAGGAGGGGGTAGTAGAGATATACTCAGCCCTCATCAGACAGTATCTGGAGCGTTATGTTCAGTTCTAGGTGCCACATTTTAGGAAGGCATTGATAAGCTAAGAGGTAGTGAAGCATAGTGGATAGTGAGGCAGCCTCAACATCAGGAAAATCTGGATTTAGATCCTGCTTCTGACACACCCTGGCTGTTTGTTGGTAGACAAGTGTCTTACCTTTTCAGAGTCTGGGCCGATGACATCAACCTCAAGTAGAAACCGGTACCACTAAACCATACAGAAGGATGCCTGTCGATCACATATTGACTTTGTTTTAAAATGTCATGTCATCTATGTTTTACTGTATTTTTATACATTTTGTTAAGTATTTCCCAGTTATATTTTCATCTTGTTTGTCCACACTCTGGAGGGTTGTGTGCCATGTGTTTTGACACCCTTCTCTAGGCAACTCTCTAAGGTTTCAATTTGCGGAAAGGGTGGCAACCTGCATTGATAGAGTGACTTTTCTCACCTGGGAGTTTCCTACAACCATGGAAATCTCAGGGACAGTCCCTCTCTTTACCAGCAAGCTACAGAGGATCCAGTGGAGGACGGGCAGAATGGTCGAGGGTTTTGAATCCATGTCACGTGAGAATGGGTTGAAAAAATGAGGTAGAGAAGACTTTTACCTTCAAATACTAGAAGAGGGAGTTTATTTGGTTTGTTTGGTTTGGCTGCAGGGGGATAAACAAGGGGTGATGGGTTCAAGTTCAAATGGGGCTAATTTAAGCTTGATGGAACCATTAGACCCAACCTAAACTGAAGTGGATAACCTTAGGAGGAAAGGGATTCTTCCTGCATGGAGGTCTTCAATCTATCATGAAGCATTTATAAAATACCTACTATGTGCCTACCACGCTGCTAGGCCCACAAGGTGCTTACAAGCCAAGGTTGGATAACCACTTGTTGGGTAGAGTGTAAAATGATTCCTTTTGGGTTATTGGTGAACGGGATGGCTTCTGAGATTCATTCCAATCCTGAAATTCTCTGATTCTGTGTTGGAAAGAGGGGAAGGCAACTTGGAACAGGTGAGCTTCTTGCTGGTGTCGAAAGAAAGGCACATAGCTTAGCAAAGGAGGTTGGTGCGATTCTCATTTCCCCCTTGGAAAGGGTTCTGGTCAATCACTGTTGTCCTCTTCACCATGGTAGACTTTCTTTTCTGTAGTGCCATAGGATCGAGGGCTAGAAGGGATGATAGAGGGAAGGTCTAGCTAGCCTCTGCCCCTAATCTTACAGAGTAGAAAAGTGAAGCCAGCGTCTAAGAATCCAAAGTTAGAAAATACCGGACCTGGGATTAGAACCTGTCTTCAGAGTCCAATTCCAGTTCACTGCCTACAGTTTCTCTGTAGTTGACTTCTTGAACGTTTGTCTCCTCTATTACGGTAGACTTTTTTCTTTTTTTAGTTTTACTGATGCCTTTTGTTTTTAGATTCTAGTCGTTTCTTGAGCCTTCATTTGTAACAAAAAGAGTTAAACCACAGGACCTGAGGCTACAAAGAGCCAACTAACCCAGAAGTCACTGTCAGAAAGCATTTGAATCAGTCACCATCCTTATTACCTACCTCTCACCATTCCAGTGAAAGGAGGGAACAAGAAATGATAGGTGTTATTCATCAAAGAAAAATGCCAATCAACTAGATGTTGAGGAGAAGTACACTACATCTAAAATACTTTATAAAACGTTTAAAGAATAGCTAGGATTGCTTTACTATTTGCACCAGCCTAGTCAGGTTGAAAAACACATGGGTAACAATCCCAAATATGGAACTGAGGGGCAGCAGGGTGCAGGGAGGGGTTGGAGAGCAGTTTTCTTTTGGTTTTTAAAAGCTGGGCACATTCCCAGGTCTTAAAATCCTTTTGATTGTGAATTGGCGCTGCCAAAGTTGGTGTGTTACAGATGGCAGTAACACTGAGTTAATTTACTGCCTGTTTTCTCTAAAGTAATGGTCTATTATTCTATTATTTCTCAGAGGACCTTGGATTCTGCTTTAGGAGAAGGGGGAGGAGGGGGAAAATAAAAGCGAGGGAAGAGGTCTTTATGGTGGGGGCAGGCTAGGAGGGCGTACTTGGATACCTGGAATGTAATGACAGATCCTATCTTACATCTTACGAGCCTAACCTAGAGCTACCAGCACTGTTAATGGGGAAATACATTACTCCAAACAGTGCGCTTTTGTCAGCAGGACTCTAAATCAAGCAAGAGTGAGTGGCTTCTTTTCAAATTGCTCCTACCATAGGATGTGAGAGGAAGGGAGAATTTGTTGGAACAGAAAGGAGCCTTTTTTATTGTGAAGGCTTTCTTCAATCTAGCAGCACCAATGTGGTATAATATTATCATTTGAAGAACAATGGATTTTTGGTCAGAGGATCTGGATTCAAATCCTGGATCTCATATTTACAAACTGTATGAGCTCAGGCCAGTTGCTTAATGTCTCTTGTCTTCAGTTTCCCCTTCTGTAAAATGAGATGGTAGTACTAAATGGGTTCAGAGATCCCTTCTCACTATAAATTTCTGTTCCTCTGATTTGGAAGAGAATGACCTCATTTGGGAACGTGGCTTGTGGCCAAGAACCTCAAGAAACATTCTCTAAAACTCATTCCATAACATTGTCTCCTCAGTCCCTATTCTCTTGTCTCTGTCTTCTTCTCTTCAGTTCAGTGAAGCTGTGACCCCCATGTATTGACACTGTTCTCGGCCACAGTCAGGGACCCAGTTTTATGAGATCAGACCTAAATAGTTCACTAGCAGCTTTTCATTGCCACAGGAATGTGAAATGGAAGGCAATTAATCTATTTAACCTAACAGGAATGTGGGTTTTGGTCCCAGGGCCTCTACTTACCCCTCTGTGCTGTTGGCCTCTTTTTGTCCCTACCTGTTACAAAATAACAACAACAACAACAACAACAACAACAACAACAACAATAATAATAATAATAATAATAATAATAATAATGGTTGCTGTTCAGTTTTGTCCGACTCATTATGACCGTACTGTCTGTGGAGTTTTCTTGGCAAGGATACTGGAGAAGTTTGCCATTTCCTTCTTCAGTGGATTAAGGCAAATAGAGGTTAAGTGACTTGCCCAGGATCACAGCTAGTGAGTGTCTGAGGCTGGATTTGAACTCAGGTCTTTCTGACTCCAGACCTAGTGCTCTATCCACAGAGCCACCTAGCTGCCTTCTAACAATAATAATAATAGCGTCCAACTTTTACATAGCGCTTAAGGTTCAAAAAGCACTTTCCATTAATTAATTATCTCATCTGAGCTATAAAGCAACCCTGTGGGAGTAAGGGTTGGAGCTTACTTAGAACAGTGGTTGTCACACAATAAGCACGTAACAATTGCTGGTTGACTGATTACAGTTATTATCCCCATTTGACCCATGAGGAAACTGAGACTCAGATAGGATGAGTGACTTGCCCAGGGACAAGCTTTGCTACTCACCTCCTGTGTGACCTTGAACAAAGGCACTTCACCCCTCCCTCAATTTTCTCATCTGTGGAATTTTAGAGGTGAACTAAATGGCTTCTATGGTCCTTTCCAGCTCGCAATCTATGATCCTGTGCTCCTTCCTCTGAAATCCAAATTGGTAAAGCAGCCCTCTCCCCACCCCCAAATGTATGTCAGGATGACAGGCCAGAGAAAAATCCAGTAGAAGATGTGGAGGCTGGGTGGTGTGGCCTAGGAAAGCTCGCTGGGCTTATTCAATGAGATCTTCTGTTTGTCCATCATTCACATTTCTTTCCCAAAGTGCCCCTCCCAGAGAGCTAGGCTTTATAAGAAAGAGGAAAAAAAGAGGGGAGGAAAGAGTTCAGCTAGACTAACCATCTCGTCAAAAAAAGGCTGACATCCTAAGGTGCGGGATTCTACCCCCGCCAAGATGGAGGGAGAGGCATCCTCAGATCTGGTCTCAGAGGCTGAGCTTGAGCGTTCGAATCATCGCACGTAGAAGCTCAGTCTTAAAGGACTCATTGGTCCATCACTCTGGGTGCCAGGCAGGAATTAGCCTTGGAAAGTCACCCCTAATAACCCGATCTGTTTGTCTTTCTTCTTCCAGCTAAGGCCAAGTCCAAGTGTGGACCGACTTTCTTCCCTTGTGCCAGTGGCATCCACTGTATCATAGGCCGCTTCCGATGTAATGGATTTGAGGACTGTCCAGATGGCAGCGACGAAGAAAACTGCAGTAAGTGTCTTTGAGCCCCAAGTCCCACGAGCCCCCGGGTTACCCCCCAGCCCTATCTCGTTTGGGTACCCTGCCTCCTGACCCACCCTTGGTCCATCACCATGTCTTAATAACATTTACGTCGTGCTTGAAGGTATGCTAGGCGCTCTACAAACATCATGTCATTGGACCTCACAACAACCCTGGGGGGGATGCGCTATTTATTGTTGTTGTTCGGTTGTTTCAGTTGTGTCTGACTCTCTGTGACCCCGTGTGGAGTGGTTTGCCATTTCCTTTTCTAACTCATTTTACAGCTGAAGAGCCTGAGGCAAACAGGGTAAAGTGATTTGCCCAGGGTCACACAGCTAGTAAGTGTCTGAGGCTGGATTTGAACTCAGGTCTTTCTGACTCTGTGTTCTACTGTGTGCTCAACTTCTCTTCTCCTCCACCCCTTTCATCTCCCCCGTTACTCAAAATTTATAACCTGAATCCCCCCAAAAACCCTTTCAAATTGAGTTCCATCTGACTCTGAGTTCCACTAGTTGCTGTTATTCTCCTTTTTCCCCATCGCTCAGAATCCTTAAAACTTGTGTGTCTTCCGCTGTGGCTACCCAAGCATGTACTTGTATGTTTGGTGTTGAACCTATGTTATAGATAAGGAAAATGAGTCGCAGAGGGATCAGGTGACTTAGCCAAGATCACACAGATAGGAAGGAGCAGAGCCAACATTTAACGATGGCTTTCAACTCTAAATCTGGTGTTCTTTTTCCTACACCACTTTAAGACCTCCGTGTGTTTCAATACTCCTTTGAAGAATTATTCAGAGAGAGTGATTAGGCCAAAGATCTCATACCCCCTTCTTCCTCCCCACCCCACAAGGGTTTTTCTTTTTTCTGTTTCCCATGTCTAATTATCTTCCTATATTTTCTTCATTCACTTCATTCATTCATTCGTTCATTCATTCAGGAGTGATTAAATGCTTCCTTCCTGTTAGCTCTTTTCATAGAAGTCCTATTTCTGTGCTCCATCACAGAGGCATCTCAGAACGGAGATGATCCTAAGTTCTAGAAAGCCACGTGAGTGGAACCCATGCCCCTGGTGGGTCCTTCCAGTGGGCCTGGCAGTGTGCTCTGCTTTTTGTTTCTAAGGCTCAGCCTGGCTGAGTTTGGAGGGTGTTCTCACCATACGGTTGGCTGTCAGGCAGTTACATTTAGATTTTGGTCACACAACCCGTGAAGATAACCTGCCAATGTGTAGCCCTGCTTGAATCGCCATCAGGGTAACAAGCCACAGCAGACAAGAGGAAATCCTTGAAATGGTGGCGTGCCAGGAAGCCCATACTGTCCTAAATGGTATCAAAGACTTAAGAAAAACAGAACCAAGACCTGCTCTTGAGAATCTTACAAACTACCTAGAGAGAATTCCTGAAACACCCACTAGGTGCCAGGCACTGTACGAGGCAGGGAGAACACGGAGACAAGGTCACAACAGCCTTTTCCCTCAAAATGATTCCATTCTACTGGAGGGAAACATTACCTACACAGGTAATAAAGACTGGCAACTGGGCAGTGTAGGGGAATGGAGCCCTAGACTTCAAGTCAGAAAGAACTGAGTTCAAATTCTGCCTCAAGTCATTTACTTACTAGCTAGGTGACCCTGGGCAAGTCACTTAACCTGTTGTAGCCTCAGTTTCCTCCTCTGTTAAATGATGATAATAATAGCATCCACCCCTCAGGCTTGTAGTATCAAATGAAATAACACATGTAAAGAACTTTTCAAGCCTCAAATATCTGTGGTAGAGGAAGGGAATAAGTATTTATATAATATCTACTATGTTCCAGGCAATGTGCTAAGCTCTTTTTACATATATTATTCATTTGAGATAATAGAAATGCTATTATCATCATCATCATTATAATTAAATCCAATAAAAAAATAAATTCAATAAAATAATAAATATAAAATATAATAAAATAAAAATACAGCAGAATAGAACTATAAAAATATAATATATAACAAATATATAATATATAACAAATATATAATATATTTAATAAATATAATATTTATATAATAATATATAATATTTATATAAGTATAATATATAATAAAGTAGCAAGCAAAAAGCCCCTTTTTGAGAGGGGATGTTAAGGGGAGAAGGGAGAGCATTCCTGGTCATGAAGGACAGTTCGTGTAAAGTCATAGAAGATATACAACCAGAGAATATTTCAAAGATAGTCAATTATAGCCCAAAGATGGACTGTATGTGTGTTATAAGTAAGAGCTCAAGGCTGGATTCAAAGCAGCTCTCCCAAGTTCTATCCACTGCCTTGCTGCCCCCACTCCTGAAGTCACTCACTGTGTATGATTGGTTTGCTTGAATGTCATCCTATTCTTTTATAGGAACTAAAATGAAAACATTGCCACCCCTGCTGCAGACCAATCCTGAGTCCTCCCTCCTATCCATGGTTTAAATGTCTTATCAGGCACCTTTTAAGTGTATTTTGCTTATGTACCTTGGAGTCATACTTGACTGTGTGACCCTGGGTAGGTCACTTAACTCCTATTTGCCTCAGTTTCCTCATCTGTAAAATAGGGCTAATAACACCACCTACCTCCCAGGCTTTGTTATGAAGATAGAATGAGATCACATTTGTAAGGTGCTTAGCAGAGTGCCTGGCACATACATAGATAGTAAGACAATCCTTGCCCTCAAGGAGCTTACATTCTAATGAGGGAAAACAACACAAGAGGGAGCTGAAAGCAATGGTGTGGGGAGGAAGGTGCCCTGAATTGGCATGGTGGTAAGTCCAGAGAGTTAATAGGGAGATGCTTTAAAAATGTTGGGTGGCTAGAAAGATGAATGAATGAATGAATGAATGAATGAATGAACAAATGAACATATGTAGCTTCTTCCCTTCCCTTTCCCATTTCCCATTCCATTTCTCTTCCAGGTCTTCTCAATTCCACCTCCATGATAGCTTTCACATGTGCTCTTCCTCCCCTCACAGAGCCATCACCCTGATTCAGGTCTGTGTTGCCTATCCCCTGGATCATTATAATTGACACCATGTTGCTCTCTCTACCTCCAATCCATCCTCCACACAGATGCCAAACTTCTCTTCCTACCATACAGATCTGACCAGGTCCCTCCCGTACTCAACAATCTTCAATGTCTCTCTGTTGTCTTTAAGATAAAATCCATAAGCCTTAGCCTTGGCTTTTAAGACCCTTTAGTCTGTCTTTTCAGGCTTATTTCATATCACTCCCCCTTCAGACACTACATTCCATCCACATGGGACTCCTAGCTATTCCCTGAACTCAGTGTTTTACCTCCTACCTCTGAATTTTTGCCTGTTTATCTCCCTGCCTGGATTGATTGACTCCCTCCTCATTTCCTCCCAGAATCCTTCTCTTCCTTCAGGGTTTCCCTTAGCCTCCACTTCTTCCATGACACCTTTCCTTCCCTGCCCTGATTAAACGTGTGGCCTTCCCCTCCTGAAATTTCCCTTCAGCACTCTCTCTGGGTCTCTACCTTAGTCTACCATCACACCCTACCTTGTATTTTGCTCATCTATTTTAGCTGTATCAATTGCTGCCTCTCCCTCCCATTAGAATCTAATTTCCTTGGGAATGGTCATTTTCAGCTTTGTCATCCCAGCCCCTACCACTGGGCCCTGCAGATAGGCAGATGAGGCACCAAGCATTTATTAAGTGCTTACTGATTTTCCTAAAGAACAGGCCAGACCATATCACTCCCATCCTCAATAAACCCCATGGCTCCCTGTGACCTCCAGAACCAAATACAACATTCTCCTTTGGTATTCAAAGTCCTTCATAACCTCGGCCCTCCTCTCCTTTCCAGTCTTCATCTACCTCACAACCACTCCCCCTCACCTCCACGTTCTCTTCTGTCCAGTGACACAGACCCTCCATTCTTACCTCTGGGCATTTTCTCTGGCTGTCTCTCATGCCTGGAATGTTCTCCCTCCTCGTTCCTGCCTCCCACCTGGCTTCCAAGTCTCAGCTAAAATCCCACCTTCCACAGCAAGGCCTTCCCAATCCCTCTTCATTCTAGTTACTTATTTCCTATTTATCCTATTTTCTACATATTGGTTTGCTTTTTTCTCCCCTATTAGATTATAGGCTTCTTGAGGGCAAGGATTGTCTTTTGCCTTTCTTTTTATCCCTAGCACTTAGCACAGTACTTGACACATAGTAAGTGCTTAGTGAATGCTTATTGGCTAACTGGTTGGCTATGTACAAATGAACTAGTTGAATGTATGAACAAATGGACGAATGAATGAACAAACAAACAAACAAATAAATGAATGAATGATAAAGTTTGTTTCTAGAAGTTCCATATGCAGGATGCTCTCAACTTACAGGAAAATAAGTCTTCACATGTTTTCTTCTGATTCTTAAAATTCATCTTAAGCTTAGCTTGGAGAATGTTTCTTTTTCAAGTACTACTGTATTTGCATATTACCCAGTTCCTTCAAGCATTCTCTGCCTTATCTCTTCTCCTTCTCTGAGACACCCACTCGTCTTCCAAATCCCAGGCAGACTTTGTCACCAACTGGCCCATGGCTTCATCTCTAGCCAGAAGCATTTCGTTCCCACCCCCCCACCCCCCAGGATTGAGGATGTTGATTCTTGCAAAGAAGCAGGGCCACAGCCTGGTCTGGGTGGGTGGTATTGATGGGAGGTTAAGTCCAAATGTCTGAGGCCTGACTGGCTTCTTTTTTCTGGTTTTGGTTAGAAAAGCAGCTGAATATAGAAAGATGCCTCTTGCCTGATTCTTTACCTGTCTTCTGGGAGTTCATTGGCAAATAGTGAGATGCCAGAATCCGGGCTTCTTAGGTAAGGAGGTTCCCTGGATGAGTTCTGAGACCCCTTCCTGTTTGGGGATGTTCTCTTCCCAAGCATCTACCTAGTGCTGTGGCTAGAGTAGTAGACTTAGGGTCAGGGAGATCTAAGTTCAAATCTGGCCTTAGACTGGACTAGCTGTGTGACCCTGG